TGCACTGGAGCCAGGAGCAGATGTGAGCTGCCAAGGAAGAAGGGGACAGGGTGGGTGAGGGGAGGGGCAGCACAACCCCCCCAGCCCCGGGGTCTCAGGGCTGGCACATCAGCACGACAGCGGTGGCAATGGGAGCAGGGGGCTACGCTACTTAGATCCACGCTCGTTCGATCCTTGCTGCTGGGAGAAGGGCAAAAGCCCACGCGGGGGTGATGGGTGCAAATGAAGATGCACTCGGTGCCCCAGACACCTGCCCTGGAGCCGAACACGCTGCGCCCCCGCAGCCATGGGGCTTGGCGTCACTGTGGGCAGCACCGCAGGGACCTCCGCCCCAGGGTGCAGATGCATGAGGAACTGCCGGGGGGGGGGGATCATGGAAAATGGGGTACCTCCCTCCCCTCCAGCCCCTGAGGGCACTGCCCATCAGCACCACGCGTGCCCAGGGTGCTGCAGGGAGCTTGGTGCGGAGCTCAGCTGCAGCCGCCCCCATCCTGGTGTGCCCCGCTCCCACCCCCTGCCCGCAAGGAGACGGCCTCTGACAGCCACCCGGCCTGCAGACGAGAAGGCAGACGTTTTCTGTCCCCATTGGCCCAGGCAAGACAACAGCCCCTGAAATTAAAAGCGTGGATTCAAAGAGCAGGACCAGCAGCACGGCTCAAGCCACGCAAGGACCCCGTCGGGAGGAGCACGGCCCAGGGCATCGCAAGCACTTCCGAGGCCCGGACATCCCCTTGTTCAGGTGCCAATGCTGCCCTGGCATTGCCCCCCACAATATCAGGTGCTGCCGGGGTGAGAAACACCTGCCTGCCCTTGCAGTGAGGGGATGGGACATGCCCTCATCCTGCGGTGTCCCCTGGGGCAAGGGACAGGGAGCTGCTGGTGGCCCTTTGCCAAGCACGTGGCTTGGGAGGGTCTAGACTGCAACGCGCCTGCCTCGAGCAGGGGGTCGGGCTGGATGCTGCCCCTTTGGGTCCCTAACACCCTGCCTTTTCTACAGCTCTGCATCCTAAGTGCTCCGCGCCTGCCCTGTGCCACTGTCCGGCCCCCTCCCATCGCAGCTGGGCTTTGCCTGGAGAAGACAAGGGAGACTTCAGAGGTAGCCCCAATGCAGAACAACTCCCACCCAGGCTGGAGAGCTGCATGTGTGCGCGGGGAGCTGCCCAGAGCGGGTCAGGGATGGGCTGCGACGGGGCACTGGTGACAGGACAGCAGGGAAGACACCCAGGCTACAAATGCACGTGGCAAACCCATCCAAAAAGCCCTGCCGGGAGGCAGACCTAAGCCAAAACCCCTCCCTGCTCCCCACCCATGCCTTGCAGTGGGGCGGTGCCGCGATGCACGGAGAGGGGCGAGGAGGAGGCTGCGCTGGAAGCTGAACAGGATGGGGTGCAGGGCGAGCGAAGCTGGGGGGGAAGCAGGGAGGAGCGGAGGGGGTTGGTTAAAGTGCTTTGCAGCCCCCCACGGCTGCAATCAATGGGCTCAGGGAGCAGCCAGCTGTGCTGCACCCTTGCAAAGAAGGGATCGGGGTGGGGGGGGGCCCATATTGTCCACACCTTCCCCCTGCCAAACACACAGCCGTGGCCAGGCCCAGCGTACTTTGGTACCAAGCAAAGGGGCCGTCGCCTGCCACGAGCAGCTCTGCCACGGAGCCCGCGCTGGTCCCTCTGGCACGCACGCGGCAGAGGCTGCAGGAGCCAGGGCCAGGGAAGGGGTTCGGGGTGCGTGGGGAGGGCAATCTCTCACCTCAGGGTTTGGTCTATGGGCCACCAGCAGCCGCCCTGCCGCACGGCCCCCTCGACGGGCTGCGCCGCTCTCCCTCGGCCAGTCGCCATTGCACAGTGCTCCTAAGCCTCCAACTACGGAAACATCAGAACAGAACAAAACAGCAACACCGAGCGCACGCGCCCCCGCGTCCTGGCCGCCCTCAACCCCACGCGGCGCTTTGGCGACAGCATCACGCGCGCACGCGGCTCGCGGGCAGATTCCTCGGGGGAAAACGGTGCAGCCGGGCACGTCCCCCACAGAGCCGGGTCCTGGCCTTGCCCAACACGCTCTGTGCCAAACTGCCCTTGCACCCGCTGGCCCCCCCCGAGCCAGACGTGGGGGCCGGGGCGTCACGGGGCCCACGGCATAGTGGCGGCTAATGCCTTAGAGCGTGGCTGGTGGAAGGGCTCACCCCAGCGCTGCGTGGCATTCGTTTTGCTGCTGCCACCAGCAGTGGCCTCACTTCTCAGATCGGGAGACTGAGGCAGAGAGGCCCTGAGCTTGTCTAAGGCCACTGAAGAGGTGGCGAGGCCCCGCTGGCTTAGAAGGAGCTGGGGCCGAGCGCCCAGCCTGGGCCATGGGGGCTTCCCATCCCTCTGGGTGCTAGTGACACGGGGGGCGCTGCAGGGAGCAGGGGGAGACCCTCCACCCCGATGCAGGAGGGCAAGCTGAGCACGCTACCCGGCTTGTATCGCTGCCTGCTCTTACCCGCAGGCCCCGCCGTGGAGCCAAGGGCTGGGATCCAGACCCCGCTCAGGACTAGTGAAAGTCCTGGAAAAGCACAGCAAAGTGCCACGAGCGTCTTCTGGTCACTGGCGATGAAGGCAGGGCACAGGAGGGCTTGGTGCACGTCCAGGCCCTTTCTCCAGCTTCCCTGCGTCTGTCCAAAGCCAAAACGTGCGGCAGGGGCCGAACCTGCTTCTTCCCATCCTTGGCCCCGACGCTGAGCACTGCTGTGACCATCCCGAGCGCTCTTCTTCCACCCACGGGAGGCATCCAACCCAGTGCCAGAAGTAGCGGGGTGAGTCTGGAGGTTACGAACACCCAGCGGGAAGGCGGAAAAACCAGCAGCACAGACGAACGGTGCCTTGGTACCAAGCAACAGAGTGCCGGCAGGCAGGGCAGCAGCGGCACGTGGTTGGGGTGGCGGGGGGGCACCCGCTCCTCACTACTGGCGTGAAAGCACACGAGTGCAGAGCTGACTGCAGGTCGGGTCCGACCGGACAGAACGAGACGGGGGTCGTCACGGGGAGGCGAGGCTAGGCTCTTCTCAGGGAGCCGGTGAAGCGTGGGCTCTGCTGGGTGGCGAAATGGCCAAGCTGGGGAGTCAGCGATGTTAGCAAGGTCATGGCGCTACCCTTTAAATGCTATAATTTATATAGGTGTATGTACACGCACGCACGCCCACTTGCGCACACTCACACACACGCGCACACACACACACAGAGGCAGGCGCACAGCCTCCACCAACCCCCGCGCCGCGGGGGCTGCCGGCAGCTGCTCCAGCAAGCAAAATCCTGCCCGTAAAATCTGCCTTAAAAAAAACCACATAGAGCAAGGTCCAGGAGTCCGTGGGCAAGGCCGAGCTCCTGGCCTCCATCTCCTCTCCGCAGCTCGGAGGTGGAAGCCGATGCTGGCGGGGGTGAATCCAACCGGCCCGGCGGGCGCGCTCACTCTCTGTCCCCGTCTTCGCTGCTACCTGCAACAGAGAGAGCGCGCGGAGAGGCTGAGCCTGAGGATGAGCCTCCTCCCCGCCACGCACCCCGGTCTCACGAAGAAACACGCGGCACCGGCGCAAGCCCAGAGCCTCACCCATGCCAGCCACCGGGCTATTGTGCGCCCCTTCGAGCAGGCCCTGCCCCTCCAAAACCCCCAAGTGCTGGGCTACCCGAGCCAGCCTGGTGGTGGGCGCCTGCCCAAAACACCCCTGGGCTCAAGTGCCTGCTTCCCTGCTCTCTTTCTGCTTCTTTCTTTTGGAAAGCCCTGGTGCCGGGGGTGGGGGGAACAGGGGGGTGCCACGCCACGTATGCAGCCAAAACTCAGCTCTTCCATCTGCCAAAGAGAGCAGCTGCCCAGCCCAGCCAAGAGGCACACAAGCAGGCATTCAGCCCCTGGCTCTACCACACCGCAGGAGGCCACCAAGCTCCTCCGAGCCCCAGGACTGCACCCAGCCACTGACTGGCAGTCACAGAGAGCCCAGGCCTTGGGCCACCCCCAGCCCCCAAGGGTCCTAGGTCCCACCCCCCAGAGAAGACCCATAATTGTGCATAACGAAGCATGATCCTGAGGATGATAAGTTGCTGGTTGTGGCCACGAAAAACAGTGGAAGCTGCTGAAAAACAATGCTAAAAATGGTGAAAATTTTGCATAATGACCTGTAATTATGCACAAAGAGGCATATTGCATATAATGATGAGCTGCAGGTGAAGGCCCTGAACTAAGTGAAAGGTTCTGGCCAAAGGCAAATCATTGTGAAAATCCTGAATAACGGCATGGAGAGAAGCACGGTGACGCATGACCACACGTAATGATGCGCAACGATGCGCCATGACGCTGACTTGCATTGTGATGCAAAACGGTGCACAGCGACATATAGCGACACATCACAACAGCACATAATGACGCGTCATGATATCGAACAACACCTAATTCCGTATAATGATGCCCAATGTTGAATAATGATGCGTTGCTGGAGATGACCATGAGAAAAGTGAATGTTTCTGAAAAAAAAAATGCCAGGTAATTGTGAAAATCCCAAATAACTGCCCGTAATGATGTGTAGTGATGCAGGATAATGTCTAACAATGCAGAATGGTGCATAACAAGGCAAAACAATATGTAACGAGGCACAACGATGCTTGACGACACATAACGACGTATAATTGCACATAACGACGCATAATGTTCAATACTGATGAGCTGCTGATGGCCATGAAAAACTGTGAATGGTTCTGAGAAAAAAAGGCAAATAATTGGGAAAAGCCCGAATAATTGAGCCTAACAACGCCTAACAAGGCATAATGACACGTCATCTTGAATAATGACAAGTCACTGGTGATGGCCATGAACCGCGGCCGAGGCTTTTGGAAAAAAATGTCAGAAAAGGGTGACAATCCCAAATAACGATGCCTAACGATGCACGGTGACACAAAACGGTAGATAATGGTGTGCAGCAAAGACTAATTGAACATAACGATGGATAACCACTAGTACTGCTCCATTACTTCGCTGCTCGCAGGGACTAGCAACGGACGGGCATGACTGGATGACATGGACCGATCGTGCAGAACAGCGGTTCCCAAACTGTGGGTCATGACCCCAGATGGGGTCAAAACATCAGCAGATGGGGTCATGGGGGTGTGGGGGTGTGGGTTGGGAGTGAGGGGCCACGCTGAGGAAACGGGGCCATAAATGGGATCATGCTGAGGACAAAAGTTTGGGAAGCAGTGGTGCAGAACATCCAGCCATCCGTCACCATAATACCAAATCACCGCAGATCACAAATACCGTGGGAAACGGCAACTCGCTCCCCGCGTTCTGAATCAGGGTGAGTAATTGGGAAGAAATGATAAATATGCCCAAAGAAGTCAGCCCTACGAACACTGCCACAGTGACAAAAGAGAGGAAGAGCTAGAACCCGGCACCAGGCAGCACGCAGGCCCCCGCCAGGCTGCAAGGCAGAGTGCTAACGGGATCTGAGAACAGGCCTGGGGCCATGGCGAAGGACCCCCAAAGGGACCAGGCTGCCAGCTCCCGGCCCCCCAGGTCAGTGTGGGGAGGCTTGAATCCAGGCTGGGCAGGTGCAGGGGCAGGTGCAGGGTTTCCCAGGTGCAGCGGGGCATCCTTGGGAGGGGAAAATGGGCAGGCTAAAGCACGAGACACGACCACGCCAGCTCCTCGGCCATAAGGCAGAAAAAGAGAGGGGAAGCAGAGATTTGAACCCAGGACCAGGCCCGCTGCAGAACACCACCCCCAGCACAAGGCTCCCAGCAGGGAGCTGGACTAGGGCGCTCACATGCACTTGCATGTGTTTACACAGAGACAAAACCCCCCGACCCGTCACAAACTCCAGCTAGTGATGACTACCGCGTGGGCATCTCTTTCTATATTAGCCCCCACACAGAACAGACGCGTTCGCTCTCCCCTACACTTCTTTTATACTTTACCCATAGTGCCGTGGTATGTGGATAGCACACACTGGGCGCGTCTACACATGACACTTTAATGCACATTAGTCTAAGTTAATGGGCATGAAGGGTGTGCATCTACACGTGCGCAACCTTAATAGGAAATAAAAATGGCAAATTTAGGCTATTCGTACATTAATGCACATGTAGACACGTTAAAGTGCATTAACGCTGTGTCTGCAGGCTGACTTGGGATTAACTTTAGTGCCAGATCAGTCCACACACATACAGCATTAATGCGCTTTAATGCCTACACATGTAGATGCCTTCCTAAATCCATTTAATGCTCATTAAGCTAATGTGCATTACAGTTAGGCACATTTAAATGACATGTAGACACACCCACTGCGTACCAGCACACTTCCCGTGCCCAGGGGAATACGCTGCATTTGGGGTGGGAGGTCCAGCTGAACCCCACCGGGACAGGCACCCCAGCAGCCCAGCTCAGGACTCACCTCCTATGGACTCCATGTCCGAGTCGGAGACGTGCGTGATGGAGAATCTGGACACTGGGGCCGGCGAGACCGTGAACCGTGAGAGCTGGATGGGCAGCGCTTGCTTCTGGACGGGGACCAGCACGGGCAGGGGGGTGACAGCTGGGTCGGGCACCACCGCGGTCACCGTCAGCGAGGACATGAGGGACGACTTCACGGGCATGAGCGGAAAGTCATCGTCCCACTCGAATCCGCCACCTGGAACAGACCGGGGCCGGGAGCCAGTCAACTGACCAGTCAAGTGATCTCAATTAACTGCTTAATTAATTAACCACCGATAATCTGACTGCAGGTCAAAACTGTGCAATGCTCCACGGAGCCAAGAGCACCCTTGTGTAGGCGACATCCACCTTTTGCGTCGCATCGTGGAGCAGAGAGAGGCAGTTCGCCATGTTGAAGTCCGGGCAGAGATGCACTTTATAGACCAACTGAATCAGCAGGGTGCAGCCCTCCCGCCCTTGCTCACAGATGATGCTGTAGGGTAACGATGCACCTTACAGACCAACTGAATCAGAGCTTCATTTGCTTTCCTTAACCCCCTGCTTCAGAAGCTATGACAGGACATGCAGATTTGGCCTGCGCTGTGCCAGTCCTTTCATGGCATCTGACGCAACGAGCTCCTGCTCCCCAAGCCGCTGCCTCCTGCCCGACTTCAGCCCAGCTCGGCCGACTACACCTCCACAGGCAAGCAGCAAAATGCGTGAGGACTTCACCTGCTGCCTCCTTAGCCCGCCCGCAATCTGAAACAGGACTTCTGCCTGTCATAGCTGCCTCACGGGCTTTATTTCTGTCCCATTTCAACAGTGTTTTTCCATTGGTAACTCTCCGGGCTGACCCTGGGGTTTCAGGATAAACTCCAAGGAAAGGAAGAACTGCTCGGCCTTGCATATCATCCACATTTCCGCTCACACAACGCTGAGAGGTATAAACATGCACTACCATTTCATTTCATGGCTTCACAATAATAGTTAATGAGCTTGGTTTGCTATAAGTCTCCAACCTACTAAAGACGAAAGTCTCTCTCTGCTGTTGTAATCAATTGATGCTTCACATACTTGACCGGGACTTGGCAGCATTTGATCAATCAACTGACCACGTCTTTTTTGGCCTGGTCAAACCACCACCACCTGGTGCCCTTCCCACCTCCCTACGCCGGGCCTAGGGTAGTAGTTCTCCAACGTGTTTTAGACTCGAGGCTCCTCTCGGGAAATGCCGGCTCTTTGCTTTCATTCATCCCTTGATTTCAGAAAAACACACAGCAGCGGTTCTGCTGCAAAGACCACAGCAGGGCAAAACATTTATGGGCCATGGGATTGCTAGGTGAAATCACGGGGCTTCCTCTTGCCCATGCTGCGCACACCTAGCAGTGCTAATCTTGCACGGCACCCTGAAAAGGATCTCACAACACCCTGGTTGAGAACCGCTGGCCTGGGGGAAGTGGTGGCAGGACGGAGGGGCTGGGGGAGGCCACCAGAGCCAGATGCATTTAGCGCCATGCAGCGGGGTCCTGTCTCCTCCCTCCCCAGCCTTTATACTCTGCCCCGCTCGAGTCTTACTCTCTTCCGAGGCGTTCCCATCCGAGGAGTCGTCGGAGGCGTTCGCTCGGTCTGCTGGGCTCGGGGGGCCGGACCCGTCGTTCTGCACGGGCTGCGGCGAAGACTCGGCCGCCTCGGGGAAAGTCGGGTCGCCGAGGTCCCTCGTGGGGCTCTCCTGGACGTGGGAAGACAGAAACGGGGAAACCAATCGCACCGGGAAGCCCCTTTCTCTCTGCAAGAAACATCCTGGGATGTGGCACAGATCCCTCGCCTGCATCCCACGCAGCCCGGGACCACTGGTTAGGAAGTGGGGGGTAGCCACGCTGTTCGAGGGGCTGCAAGGTAAAAGACCGGAGTCCCCCGCCTCCCTCCTGGGGCAAGGCCCATCTCTGCAAGGAGAGGCGCCAAGCGGGACCAGGACCCACCTGGTCGAAGAGGTAGACGGTGACGTCGTCGTAGAAGGACACGGCCTTCTTCTTGCGCTCCAGGTCGTCGCAGAAGGTCTCGGGCAGCAGGCCGGGCATCTTGAGGAGGCTGCGCAGGTTCCTGGCGCTGTGGCTCTCGGCCACCACGATGGGCACGGCCGCCGGCTCGTCCTCGCTCTCCTCGCTCTGCTCCTGGATGTTGTAACAGCGCAGCTCCTCGTCCGACTCGTCGCTGTCCTCCGTGTCCTCCTCCTCCTCCTCCGGCTCCCGCGGGGGCTGCAGCGTGGAGAGGTCCAGAGACAGCTGGGGAGCCTGAGTGGGTGACGCGTCCTCCGCGGGGGCCGTGCTGGGGCATTTCTCTCGCGCTTCCCCCTCCAACACTTGCTCCTGCTCCCCGGGATCGGAGCCGGGGACCACAACCGGCCCAGCACCGGCCTCGGGGTCTCGCGCCCGCTCTGTGGCCACCTCCGGCACGTGGCTGCCTACGCCGGGGCTTGGGGGAGCCGCGTCCTCTGGGCTCATAACCACTGGAGACAGAAAGAAGACTTTGGATGGCACGGGCCCCGCTGGGAGGCTGGGGGCCAGGGGACGCTCACTTCCGTCTGCCTCTCTGGAGCCGTCTGAGTCCAGCTCGGGGCCCGAGACCCTGTCCTCGGCTTCGGCAGCAGCGTCCACCATGGGCGCTGGCAGCAAGGGGGAAGCCCCTGAACCCAGGGCTCCCTTCGCAGCTGCAACATCTCCATCAGGAGCTTCGACCTCCGTGGAGGCCTCTGCAACGCCGGCAGGTCCCTGCACGCTCTCGGGGGTGTCGCAGGGGTGAGACGTCTCCTCCCCGGTACTGCTCTGGCTGGCCGCTCTCCCCACGTTCTCCGAGTCCAGCTGGGAGCAGCCCCTCTCCTCCTCCTGGCCCTCGGACCCGTCGCTGTCCTCATCCTCCTTCGGGTACCGCTCCGCCTCCGCGTCGTAGTCGGAGAAGTAGGCAGAGTCGCGGTACGGGTTCTTCTCGCTCAGGCCGTGCAGCTCGGTGCTGAAGGACGAGGACAGCCGCATCTCCGAGGCCGCGTCGTCCCCTTCACCCGCGGGCGGCTTCCCCAGCGGGGCAAAGGTCTCCGGCTCCCGGGGCTCATGCGGCTCCTTCAAGACGAACTCGGGGGACTCGTTGTTCTCGGTGTCGTAGCCGCTGTCCAGAGCCTTGGGCTGGCTGGAGGGGACATACGCCGTGGGGCTGAAGACTTCGCAGGAGCTGGCGGTGGACGGGATGTCCAGCGAGTCCAGGGAGTCCGGCGTCCCCACCTGCTTCTGCAGGGACTTGAAAGACGGGGCCATGTCCGCTCGCTCCACGTAGTCGCTGGAGAAGTCGGTGAAGATGCCGGAGGTGAGCTCCGTGGTGTCCTCGTCGCTGCCCTCGTCCATGTCGGGGAAGCTGGCGCTCGAGAACGTCTTGTCTGGGGTCCGGTCCAGGTCGCTGGTCAGGCTCTTGCCGCTCTCCACGGTCACGTCTCTCGGGGCCTGGCTAGATGCCTCCGAGGCCTCCGAGGGGACGTGGGCACAGTCGGAGCAAGGCTCCCCCGCCGCCTGGGCAGGAGCGACAGTCCACTCCCCCACCCCCAGAGCAAGGGACGCTGCCTCGGCCGGCCCAGCCGGGCTCTCGGCGAGCTGGAGCAGTGCCCCCACCTCCGCCAGCCCCGAATCCACCAGCCCCGGCAGCTCCATGCCCCTGGGCTGCGGCGTCTGGGCACGGCGGCTCCCCTCCTCTCTCTCGGCGGGTCTCGGCGCCGCGCTGGCATCGTAGGCACACGTCTGGGCCCCGGCTCCAGCCGCTGGGTCAGCGGGGAGCTCTGCGCCCAAGGCACGTGGTGCGCCGGGGACGCCTGCCAGAGCCGTCGCTTCCGAATGACCGAAGGCGCGTGAGTCATTGCTCTCCCGGTCCAGGCAGTGCGGGGAGGGGGAGGAGGAGGAGGAGGAGGTGGCCGAGGAGTCCTCCATGGTGGCCAGAGCCACGCGCTCCACGGGGTCTGGCCGGAAGCCGCCGTCCTTGGCGAGGGGCTGGTCCCGCAGCGCTCTCCGGAAGCCCCTGAGCAGCGGGCTCCGGCGCTCCGGCGGAGAGTCCTCGAGCTCGGCCTCGTCCCGCGGCACCGAGCCCAGGGGCTCGGCCATGAGCCCCCGGAAGGTGATCATGTGGCGGTAGCACCAGCTGTCGTTGGCGGGGGGCTCGCAGGGCGGCGGGGCGCAGTTGCTGCTGTTGTTGTTGGCCGAGCTGTTGGAGGTCCAGTGCTGAGCCACAGGGCTCCCCTCCTCCAGGAAGTCCCCCGCCTGCTGGCTCCGGCGCCCGGGGCTGCCGCATGGGCTCTCCTCGCCCAGCTCCAGCGTGACGCAGTCCAGCCTGGAGCCGGGGGTCCCTCCGGCCGCGCTCTGCCCCGGGTAGTCCAGCCGTTTCCCAGCAAGGTCAGGCTCTTCGTAGCTGCGAGGGCTGTAGGCACAGTTCACCGACGGCGAGACGCCCAGGGGGTCCTGGAAGATGCTCTTGCAGAAGCCGGGCACCGGCCACACTTTGCTGGCGGTCTCCGGGGGCTCCTCCAGCAGGTACTGGTCGGTGCCGTCGCTCGGGGAGGGCTCGTAGTAGCGGCGCTCCTTGCCGTGGCTGGCGGGGGGGTAGTATTCGGCGTGCTCCCAGGAGCTCTCGCTGCGGGGCGCGTGGCCCAGGAGCGGCTCCATGCTCAGGGAGATGGTGGGGCTGTTGTCCGAGTCATACATGCCACCGCCGGCGTCCCCCGGGGCTTGCCAGCAGGGCGCCTTATCCGGGGAGCCGCCCTCGTAGTCGGGGCTGTAGGAGCACATGGTGTAGTCCAGCTCGGGGCCGCCCTCCGCGGGGCCCTCGATGCGGATGTAGTACTCGTTGCTGAGCGAGGGGCTGTGGGCAGCCAGGATGGGCACCACGCCGGGCGTGTGCAGGCTCTGGCAGCCCTGCTGCTTGCACTCGTAGCAGGACGGCGAGACGCCGAGGCTGAGCCGCCCCACCGAGGTGGCCGGGTAGTACAGGTCCTGGTACTGAGCGGCGCTGCTGGGGCTCAGGGCCCCTGCGGGCGCCTGGAAGTGCTCGGCTTTAGTGTGCTCCCACTTGTACTCGAAGTTGAGGCCGTGGCTGGTCTCCATGACCGTCAAGATGTCGTCCCCGTCCGAGTGGAAGCCGTCGGCGGAGAACTGCTCCAGCAGCGGGAAGGACGAGACCTCGGCGCCGTGGTGGCTGGCGCTGGAGCTGCTGTTGGGCTTCATGGAGTTCCAGCGCTTCTCGAACTCCTCCTCCACCTCCGTGGCCCCCTTGGCGCACAGGTAGGAGAGCAGCAGGTGGACCTCCTCCGCCGTCGGGCGCTGCTCGGGCTGCAGCCAGCAGAACTGCATCACCTCATACCTGCAAGAGCCCAGAGTCTGCACCTGCCGCCGGCCGGACGAGCCGCTGGCCTGCCCGGCTCGCGCCCCACCGCCCCCAGGAGCCGGCCCTTACCCAGCCGGGGAGCAGGCGGCTAAGCACATGCCTGTGCCCACCCCTTCCCTCTGCTCGGTGAGTCACCGCTCAGCCCCGCGCTTCCCACACGGCAGCAGACTGCGCTCATGCAGCTCCCTCCCATGCCCCCGCCCGAGTGCAGGGGAGAGGAGGGCTGGCACGGAAAAGGAGCGGGGAAGGGGCAGCTCCGGGGAGCAAAAGGCATGTGGAAAGGTGCCACGTGGCAGCTCGTTCCTCCCACCCCCTGCCCCTGCCCCCGTCAGAGCCGGCGGCACGCTCCTCACCAGCGCTCGGACAGCGACAGCTTCAGCTGGGGCTTGGGCAGCTTGAGCTGCTGCTCCTTGATGGCGTAGGTGAGCACCTGCCGGTCTGAGTAGTGGTGGTAAGGCTGGCTGCCCAGCTCAAACAGCTCCCAGATGGTCACGCCCAGCGACCTGCAGAGTGCACGGGGTGGGGGAACCGGCGGGCGTCAGGTCGGGAGGGGTCGCAGCCAACAGCAGGGAGGAAAGCCCAAAGCAAGGATGGGTCTCGCCCCTGGTTCGGGCCAGTCGCAAGTGCAGGGTCGCCCAGGGGGTGCCAGTGTAACCGGGCCCAGCTGGTGTAAGCCGGCAGCCGTGCCAGAGACGCCCTACAGCCAACTTCCCAGCACGTGTAGACAGCCCCACCGCCGCTGCGGTCGGAGGGGCCAGGCCCCCTTAGCCTTCCTCCACGGGGTAATACCTGTACGCCCAGGTGCAGATCCAGCCCTGGTCCTCATAGACTGCCCTCCACGGGCAGGTGTGCCCGGACCCCCATCCTGCCAGGCGCTGAGGCCACGTGGGGGATAGCGCCAGGCTCACCTTCCTCTGCCAGGGCTGAGTCCTGTCCCCACCACCTCCCCTTATGCACCCGACTGGGACACGGCCCCTGCCCCTCCTCGTGGGCTACGCAGCTTCAGCCAGACCACGAGGCAGTGACACACGCTGACTCCGGCGCCGGGCCCGACTCACTCGCACACGCTGCCCAGGGCACGGCCTGAGTCAGCGCCCGGCGGCCGGCTCCACCCGAGCCCACGGGCGGGCGGGCGGGCGCTCACCAGATGTTGCTGGCCTTGGTCTGGTCGACGATGAGCAGGTTGCCGTGCACCTCGTCGATGAGCTCGGGCGCGATCCAGCGCAGCGGCACCCACAGCTGGTCGGCCGTCACGAAGTAGTCGTCCTGCCAAGTATGCAGGGTCAGTACGAGAAGAGAACGTCAAACCGACGCGTGAGGGAACCGCGCCCCCGACCTCCCCACGCCCTGCCGCGGCCCCTCCTGCCCCCCAGGCCCGCTGCTGCCTCCGTGGACCCCAGACCCATCCTCAACCCTCCCATCAGCTTCCCCTCCCCACCCCCCCCCCACCTCTCCTGCCTGCACCCAGCCCCCATGATCCTCTACCCCTTCCCCCATCACCCCTGTCCCCCTCCTCCCCACACTGGCCATCAGCCCCCCATCCTTGCCCACCTCTCCCCCTCCCAGCCCCCAGCCACAGCCTTCTTTACCCCCCGCTCCATCCCCCTCCCAGCCACGCAACCCCCCCCCGGCCTGCAGCAGCCCCATTGATGGCTGGGGTGGGGGCAGGCAGAAGCAGCTCATGCAGGGACTCACCTCCAGGAGAAGTCCAGGCTGCTGCAAAGCCCAGGGAGGGGAAGGAGCTGGGGGCAGGGATCTGCCCCCCACACCCTGCCCTGGAAGGCGCCTACAGCCTCTCCGGGTAGGGGACCAGCCCCAGCTGGGCACTGCCTAGAAGGGGCAGGGGGCTGCCAGCTGCATGGGGGAGCGCTCCTCTGGCTCACGCCAGGAGCATCGGCCCTGCCCAGACGGCTCGTGGGAACCCCGTACCCAGGCTGCAATCACCCGGGAGGAGGAGAGGAAGCTGCGGTGACGGCCCCTTCCTGAGCCACGGGCTGCCGGCAGCCGGGAAACTCAGCACAGACCCTGGGTCTCGAGAGACGGGGCTCCAGCCCTGCCCTGGGCGTGGTGAGGTTTCGGGGAAGGCGAGACGGGCATGCGTGCAGGGAACTCGGCCGAACTCTCTTGCCCACACCGGCTGGCCGCCGTGCGCTGGGTGGCAAGACCGAACAGAGGCACCCACTGCCCCCACGGCCGCGGCCCCACCACCCCCGCACCCAAACCAGACTTACTTTGTACTTGCAGTGCGAGAGGCCGTAGTCCCCGATCTTGACAGTCAGGTCGGCAGTGAGTAAGCAGTTCCGCAAAGCCAAGTCGCTGGGCAGAGGAAAGGCACGGCTGAGGTTACACAACGCCCGTCGGGCCTCACTGGAGACGTCCCGGCGGGGCCAGGGTGCCAATGCGGGCAGCAGCCAGCCAGGATGGAGAGGCCTGACCGGAGCTTGCTGCAAAGGCGCAGGGGCCTTTGGGGAGCCAGCCATGGCACGGCACGGCTTGGTGCCACATGCTGGGCAGAGCTGGGAGAGGCCGCGCAGCGAGCTGGGCAGCTCGGCGGCTAATAGAAGGGGCTGCAGGTGCCTCGGCCTTCGTCCATCCCCGTGTCCATCACGGACAGCGCTGTGCTGGAAGGAGGCTGCTGAGCCGTACTCCTAGCAGACACGTGAGATGCAGGCCAGGCCCCACGGCGAGGCCGTGCATCCTGGCAAGGCACGGGCTTTGCAACAGGCTCCCAGCCCTGACCAGATGTTCCCCCCGCAGGGCTCCCCAGCTGCCTCTGGACAAGGCCGGGGGGGTCTCGGCTCCAGCTCTCACACCGTGTACTCACCACCACCAATTAGCAGGCTGGGGGCGGGCACTGAGCTGCCCCTCTGCAAGGGCGAAGCAGGTGCATCTGCCCAGGTGGGTACCAAAGCCACCGGACAGTGGGGCCCGAGCCTGGCAGCCCCCCCCCAGCGCATGGTGACAGCAGGAGCGTGTGTATGCTGGTGCCCACTGGGCTCTGCACCGGGCAGGGGGCACAGACTGCCGCGGAGAGGCAGACCCCGGTGGAGGGCGGCGGCAGGCAAGGAGGGTCCGGCGGCCCCGGGCGGCAGCGCTCGCCCTCCTCAACAAAATCACTGATGCTGGAGTCTCTGTGCGCAACTCGCTCAGCACCAGGATATTGTTGGGGAGGCGGGAGCAAGTGGCGGCAGCAGCTCGAGAAGACCCCCGGAGTCCTGGGAGAGCCTGGCACCGGGTAGCAAGCACCCCCTCCCCGTCCCTGCCCAGCCAAAACCAGGGGGACTCGCGTGGGACCCAGCCCTGCCCCTCCCCGAGATGCCCCGGCTAGCAGCAGGCACACATCCCTCTGCCCGCAGGGACCAGGCGCCTGCCCACCCCCAGACCACCTGAGAGCTACAGCCAAGCCAGGGCAACCACAATGCCCCACCCAGGGGTGCTGGGGGCTTGTATGGGTGTCTGCTGGGTGCTGGTGGGGGCGTTTGCAGTGAGCTGCGGAAAGCCCCGGTGCCCTGCTCCTGCTCCTGCTCCTGGGGAGACCAGCCACTTGTCTGTCCGTGCTGTCCCCTCCCCAGACAGACAGACCGGTGGGCGGGGGGTCTTACCTGTGCACGTAATTGTTCTTGTGCAGGTGCAAGATGCCACAGGCCACTTCACAAGCCATCCTCTGCAGGGTGAGGGGGTCGGGCGTCATGGAGTCAGCCCCCCGGCAGCTCCGCAGGTAGCCCTTCAGGTCACCCTGCCATGGTAGACATCCCGCCCCCCATCAGCCACGGGTGCCGGGTGCGGTGCGGCATCAGCCACATCGTGCAGGGGGCTCCCCTCTTTCACCCCACCGACATCCCGGGCCCTGCGCTGGCTTCAGGGAGCTGCCGTGGCTCTCAGCAGCATGGGTGGCTTCCTCGTCCTGGCCAAGCCCTGCGTGCTTCTTCAACCCGAGGAGAGCAGAGCCCCCCGGGATGTCAGGAAGGGGCTTTGGGGGTGCCCAGTGCTGCATCGGGGCCCGAACTGACCCCCAGTGGGGGGTCCCCTCCCCAGACCGGTGCACCCCGAGGAGTCAGGGGCGCGCGGGACTCACCAGCGGGCAGAACTCCATGACCAGCAGGTAGGGGGTCACCTCGGCGCACTGGGCCAGGCACTGCAGCAGGTTGGTGTGCTGGAGAGCCCTGCACGGGCGACAGGCGTAGCGGGAGCGGATGAGACCGGGCAGGAGCGAGGGGCACCCGCAGGGCCGTGGGGGGGGAGCCCAGGGCTGGGGGGGCTGTGATGTGAACAGCTGAGAAAGAACAACCCCCTCCGCACCCGCCACCCTGCCCTCCCCTTTGTCCGCGTCGGTGCAGGGCGGTGGGGACAGGGGTGCCTGTAACATGTCCCCGGAGGCAGGCAGGGAACAAGCCGGGGTACCAAGACGTGCCAGCCGGGCCTGTCCACAATGAGCCCTTTATCTGCCTTTCTGCAGACAATTGAGAGCTGTTCAGTCCTGCCCCCTCCGCCCCCAGCCTTACTGATGCCCCTGGTCCCAGCCCTGGGTCTCTGCGCCCGCCTTGCCCACACCCCTCCACCCCCACTCCCAGCCTGGCCCGCGGCGCTACCTGTATGGCTGGGCTTCCTCCAGGAACTGCATCTGGTCCTGGACGCTGGCGCTGGCCTTCAGCTCCTTCACCACCACCTGGGTGCTGCTGATGCCCGAGTTCACCTCGCCCAGGAACACCTACGGGCGGCAGCGAGATGCATCACCCAGTGCCTACCCCCTGCAAGGGGCCGCGTGCACCCCCGGTGCGCCCCCAGCCCCCCACACACATGCACGGACCGCCCCCTGGCACACGGGCTCACTTTGCCGAACCAGCCGTGCCCGATCTCCTTCAGGTAGAGCAGGCTGTGCCTCCCCAGGTCTGCAGACTTGAGCAGCTGCACTGTAAAAGAGCACGTCCAGCTGGCAATGCATCCGAGCGCCCATCGCCTGCCCGGCCTGCCGCCCCCGCACCCGCCCGGTTACCCGCATGTCCCCGGGGCACCGTGCGGCTGCCTCGCGGTCCCTGTCCATCCCCGGCGTGGGCTCAGGCGGCCTGGCGCCTGGCACCAGAGATGCCAAGCTGCAACCTCCTGCCCCGGGGCCCTGCTCAAATCCCCACCCTGGCTCCTCCAGGCCTCTCCCTTGCTTCTGCCACCCAGCTGTGCCCAGCAACTTCGGGCACCGGCAAGCCAAGAGCAATGCAGGTGGGGACCCCTTTCCCTCTCCGGCCACCCAGTGCAGGATCCAGCCCGGTCCCCTGCACCCCACAAGCTCCCGGACCGGAGCAGGGCTGGCCCCAAGGGCGCTGGCCCCTGCCTTCCCCGCTGCCCGGCCCTCCCCCGTGCCCGAGCCCGGCATTCCAGACAGATGCTGAGGGAGGGTAGCAATGGGCCCATTGTTGCCCGGCCTCGCGCCGCCCTGCACCGGCCGCACACTGCGGCCATTCTCCCCGGCCCGGCACGACAATGCCCGGCGAGGTGGGTGGAGGGGGGGCCTGGCCCTTCTATGGCTGGGCTTGTTGGCGCCGTGCCCCTCCCTGCGTGCTCCAAATTCCTCTCCCACTCGCAGGCTTGTTTACCAGGGCCGGTGGGGACGGGGTGGGTGGCACCAGGGAAGGAATTCGGGGCGGCACGGGGCTGGATGCAGGCACCAGGGCAGGGCCTGTCTGCCCATCCTGCAAGACCAGCTCCACCCAACCCCACGCCGGGCACGGCTCTGGGACCCTCCGAGCCCTCTGCCCGAGGCGGCCGCCTCAAGCCGTCCTGTTCACACCCCCGGCCACCACCCAGCTATCTCTGCAGCTTACCTGAGCGCCCCGGCTGCTTCGACATGGGCAGCGAGACCTCGGTGAGGGGCAGGATGTACACCTCGGGGCCATTCTGCACCGCCGGCGAGCCCTGGGCCGAGAACTCCGCGCCATAGTCGTCCCCCTCCGCGTTCTCAAACTCCTGCCGGGCACAGGCACGTGGCCCCCAGGGTCAGGGGGTGCGGGCATCCCAGGACACGCATGCTCCCCCCCGTGCACACACCTACTGCACACCCCCGCTCCCTGCAGTCATGCACACCCCCTCCTGCATACACACATGCATCCCTCCCAGCATTCACACACACACACTCCCTGCACTTGTGCACACTCCCCCACTTGTATTCATACACACCCACTCATTCCCTGCACTCATGCACACCCACTCTTAACATACACACACACCCTCCCTGCATTCATACACACATGCTCCTACACACACACAGCCCCATCCCTCCCTGCATTCACACACACACACCAGCCCTACATACCCACCCCCGCAGGCACCTCACAAACCCTATTCCCCGTTCAGGCGTTCGGTGCCACATGCCTCTCCACGCGTGCCTGCACACATGCTACACCTCTCCCCCACGCGCACATGGGCTCACCTCCATGCATCTCCACCCTCCACACGTGCCCCCCGCCCCAGGCTCCCCAACCTCAGCCCACCCCCCAGATGCACACACAGTCACTCGCACTCACCCTGAATCAACACCCTTGCACCCACCCCAGGTCCCACACACCCAGTGCTCTGCCTAGGCCCCCCCGCACTCCCACACCCAGCAGGGAAGGGGAGAGGGACGCGCCGTGCCCCCAGCACCCTCCACGGTGGGCTGGGAGGGCAGGGGCAGGCACCCTGGGTGAGGACCCCAAGCCCTGGGGGCCAGCCTGGGACCCACCACAGGGGCTGGTGCCACCGGGGTGCTTGTGAGCTGGGGCAGGGTCCCAGCTGGGGGGAAGGATGGAGGTTCAACCTGTGGCAGCTCCCAGACCCTGCCTTTGTGCCCCCCCGGGACCTGGGAGGCATCTCGAGGAGCCTGGACCCGGCCCTGGCTCCACCCCAGTCACGCTGCAGGGACCCTTCCTGGAGCCCTGCTGCCTGCGGGGATTTGGGCATGAGCCTGCATCGCCCCGGCATCACCCCCCACCCTGGACACTCCAGTTACCTGCCTACGGCCCCTGGCCCCGAAGGCAGCCCCCGCGATCAGGTAGGAGAGGGTGAGCATCTCGGTGGTCCTGCCGCACGGCGACCCCCTGCCTCATGGTGCCCTGTGCATCCAGGACCCGCCGGCCCAGGGGTGCAGGGGGTCGGAGGCAGCCCCTATATAGGTTGCGTGGGGTGCGGGGAGGTGCCCCGTTGCGCCGCGGCTGGGCGGCCTGGCCAGTGTCGTCACGATCCCGACCTGCCCCCGCCAGCAGCCTCCACAAAAATCCCAGCAATTAGGGAGAACTGTTTCCCTGGCACATTTTGTGCCCGGGAGGTCATGGCACCGCCTGTCCCGGGGGCACCAAGGCGGGGAGGCATTAACCGTGCAGCATCCCGGCTCCGAGCGAGGCTGGGAGCCAGCAGGCCTGGGTGGGAGGCGACGCTGAGCGCTGCTGGGTGCTGAGCTCTCTGTGCCCTGCTGCTGGGGGCACCCGGGGCACGGCCCTGAGGCTGCACCCTCCAGCGCAGGCACCCAGCGCCGCAGGTGAGCACAGCCCCTGCCTCCCGGCGGTGCTCACCTTGAAGCCGACGTCGCCCTTCTTGCAGCACAGACAAGCCAACATGAGGAAGATGAAGGTGAAGAGCCCAGAGAAGGAAACGGCCACCACCGCCAGCGAGGAGGACCAGGAGAGCTCGCTCAGGGGGGTGCTGTCTGCAGGGGGAGAGGGAGCAGGGGAGAAGTCGGGGGGCTGGGCCCAGAGCAGGGTCCCACGTGCATGGGTCCGTGCCTGGATCTACAGGATGACGGGGTGGATTAACAGTCTCCGACCCCACGGCTAAGCCCCCCGAGCCCCTGCATGCAGCCCCCAGCCCCGGCTTCCATGTCAGGCCCTGGGGGTGCAGGGCAGGAGCACCCCAGCTGGGCCCAGCACAGTGCACCCCAAAAGGACCCTGGAGGGAGCTGGAAAGGGGGGGCACTGTGCTCCCCACACTGCCCATGGGGTGGCACTGGTGCACCAGAGATGGGCTGCCGGCCCCCCTCCAGCAGGGAAGGGGTGGGAGTCTTGGCCCCCAGGCCCATGCCATCCATGCCTGCACACCCCTGCGGTCACACATGCACTCCCACACACTCCCCTGCCCGTGCACACGCACCTGAACACACATGTGTGTGTATTCCCATGCACGCACATGCACACTGCAGAAGGCAGCAAACCAGCCCTGGAGCTTTCCCAGCCCCCTTCACCACCTCCCTCTTCAGCCCCAGCCCTAAACCTGGGGTCGGGGGGTTGGAGCCAGAGCTGCCAAGGGCTCAGCTCACAGAGGAGGTGCTGAGCAGGGCTTGGAGGGCAGGATTGGTGCTCTGAAACAGTGGTGCCCAGGCTGCCCAGGCAAGCGGGGATTAGCAGCCATGGGGTTTGCTGGGATTGGGTTTTTCACAGTAAAATAAAGGGAATGTTGCTTCTTGGGAGACCCCGAGGCTTTCAGGAGCATGAGGCATATTGCACTGCGCCGGTGCCCCATCCCCCTGCCCCGCTGCCCCCGCCCAGCTCGCCCAGCCTGTGACCCCCGGGCAGAAACTCTCCCGCCTGCTTGCCACTGCCCCCGGTTTGCAGATCCAAAGGCAGGAGATGCAAGGAGCTCCATGGCAGGCCCCCAGACCTGCAGCCAGTCCCGTGCATGTGCACACGCGTGTCGTCGCACACGCAGCGCTCTGGTCCTGCCCCTCTGTGCCGCAGTGTTGTCATGACAACAGAGCCCCGTGGCTGCACCAGGGAGGAAGATGATGGTCCGGCCACCTCCTCCCAGCACCTGCTTCCACCAGACACTGCCCTCGTCTCCCCCCTGCACCCCTTCCTGGTGCTGCTAACCCAGGGGGGTTTGCCCTGCTGGGCCCTGCTCCCATCCCAGATCTCGTTCTGCCACCAACTGCCATAGCCAGAGACACGTGCCATGCAGCACCCCGAGCCCAGCCCTGCATGGCCAGAGGGTCGATGTGCTGCTTCCCTGGGGCAGCAGATATAAATGCAGGGCCTGCATCCTGCCAGCTTTGTTGCAGGTAGGGATGGAGAGACAGGCCCAGCCGGCAGGGCATGCATGGGCTCCCCCAGCCTGGGGCTGCTGTTATCACCCCCTCGCCCCTGCCATGGACCCCAAACCCCCGACTCCCAGGGCTGCCCGGGCTCTGCTCCTGGGCACGGAGCTGCTCGCCCAGCCCCAACCTCCAGGAACAGCCCAGGAGGCTTCGGGCCAGGCCGAGGGCAGCTGGGAGACGGCACAGCGGGGCTGAGCCCAGCCCGGGGAGGCAGCCATTCCCTTTGCACACACAGTAAGGCCCTTCATGCCGCGGGCTCGGGGCAGCAGGGGAGGGGGGCCCGCGCGGCCCAGCTGTGCACTTGCTTTGTGCGCCCGCGGTGCCAGCAGCCGGGCCACCTCCCCCAGGTCCTCCCGAGCTGCAGCTGGGCCATTGCTATGCTGCTCCAGCGCCGCCGGGAACAAACGGTGCAATCATCGCCGGAGGAAGCAGGATGCAAGCGGGGGCTGCCGAGGGGGAGGGAGACGCTTCTCTGCACCGAATGCCAGGCCAGGCAGGCAGGGCTGAGAGGGCCAGAGACAGCCAGGCCCTGGGGACACCTCCAGCCCCCTGCCGAAGAGGCACAGGAGCCAACGGGGAATGACAGCAGCTTGGAGCCAGGGCACCGAGGGCAGAGGATGCCTGGGCATAGATGGGAAGCATCCTGCCACAGGTGAATGGGGCTGGGCCCCTCCAGGGCTCAGCACATGGAGAGTCTCAGAGCAAGGCCAGCTTAGGTCCAATCTAGCAGCAAACTGCCTGGGCAGGGAGCATGGTGCTGCCTTTTGATGCACCATGGGCAGCGGTGGTGGAGACGGACCCCCAATGCCAGGGTCTCACCTCTGCAATGCTGGAAGCGGGACCCACAGTGCCCTGGGCAGCCCCCACCACTCACCAGCTGGACCGTGGCCTTTTAGCCCTCTCCCCTCGCAGGCTAGGAGCCCAGTACCCCTCCGTCAAGCCAGGATTACTGCTGGATCCCGCCCCGCCACTGGGACAAGAGCAGAGGGGGCTCGCCAGCCCCTGCATCCCCCCCAAAACCCTTTGCCAGGAGGAGGAGGGTCCAGCAGCTGGTGCTGGGAGACACCTGGGATGTGTCCCCACCGTGCTGCCAGCCAACACGTGGTCCTGCCTGGTCCCAGCTCCCTTTGCTCAGTGAGCACCACCCTCCCTGTTGGTCCCCAGTGCCCCAGGGGCCCTGGAAAGCCAAACTGGGCCCAATGCTTTCCCTTCTCTAACCCAGAGGGCCAGTAATTCTCGGTGATTTTCATTCTCTGCTGTAAGGACGGCAGAGCCGGAAATGAGCCCATTCATGGGGGAGCTGACCCCAGTCCCTCCCACGCCATTCTGCAAAGGGGAAGACCCTTATTAAACCAGGACTAAGGGATTTGGGGCTGGGGAAGGGCACTAACCCAAACTAGGTGCACGCGGCTGTGAGGTCGGTGAGAGAAGCAGGCAGGAAACCTGCGCTCGGTGCCTGGCTCTGCCGCTGGCTCCAGGGGTGACCTTGGGACAGGCAAGTAAAAGCCCCCACCAGCTCCAGCACCCAATCACTCCCCCGTGGAAACCAGCCTGGGTCTCTGGGGAGCAGCGAGGTGCCCAGCCCATAAGCAGCCGGATCTCTCCGATGTCTAGCCATAGCCAGGGACAAGGACTCAGCCAGCTCATCACTGCTAGCATGCAACACCAAAACACCCGAGCAGAGCACTACTAGGCAGCATGTCCTGCACCCACCGTGCCTGGAGCCCGAGGCAGCCTTAAGTCAGCCCCCCCCCGGATGTACGGCAAACTCCCAACATGAAGGCACTGGTACAGCTGGTGGACTGTACTGCACACCTGGCAATGCACATGGTGACACACACATGCACACACCCCTGCTAACACTGGTACACGTGGGGCGTGCACTGCACACACAGCAATGCAGGCAGTAACATGCACACGCCCCTGCTAACACTTCCCGCCAGGAGCCACAGGTGATACTCTGAAGAGCTGCTCAACGACGCCGGCTCGTGAGCTTTCCCCACGCACCTTCCAGCTGCCTCGCCTCAAAGCTCAGCCCTAGAAGCACCCAGGAGGAAGCCAAATTCTCTCCCCTTTCTCTTTCTCCAGCTCTTCTCCCTGGCAGGGGGTGGGGGAGGCGGCAGAACATGCAAAGCCATTGCAACGGGGTTCCCAGCTGCAAGCACCGAGCACCAAGCTCCCAGCACAGACACCGGTACATTTGTGGGCAATGCAATGCGTGCAGTATCTCGCACGCACACGGCATTCCCAAAACGAGCCCCTTTCCAACCCTGCCAGCCCCAAGCTGACTGTTTGGCTTTGCCAGGCTCAGCATCCCTCTTGTGAAGCAGGGAGCTGAGGTCAGCCCCGAAAGAAGCACAGAGACGTGTCTGCAGGGCCCCGCGGTGCCGGGACAACCAGAGGCCACGGGAGTGCGAGTGGTTCTCGAGCAGGCCCCGCTGCTCCGGCAGAGCCCTGGCCAGAAGCAGACTCACTCCTGCTGCCTGCACTTTGCCCCTGCATTTTGCCCCTGCACTGCGGCTGTTAAAGGAGGTAAAGGGCTTAGGGCCCTCTCCTTTGGGATGCAGAGGCCGAACAAAGCACCCGAGACCTGGGTATGCACCAGCCCGGCTCTCCCACAGCACAGCTGGGCGCCCTTCCCTCTGCAGATGCCAGCTGTGCCCATTGCACTGTGCCCGGGCATCAGACACAGGCGGGCACAGCTGGAGTGAGGGCTCTCGCTGCTGGAGGAGCAGCAGCTCTGTCCAGCCACATCTGGCGAGCCTGGGTTGGACTTCTGGACTTCCCGGGGAGATGCACCGTGGATGGTTTGGGGGAAAAGCAAGGGGGAAGGTGGGCTGGGCCTGGGCACCCAGCGGGCAGCTCTGCAGGCATCAGCACCATGGACAGGGTCAGGCCAGAAGAGCCCAGCCCAGCACCCACGAGCCGGGGGGGTCTCGGGGTCTTGCCCCGAGGGTCTGAACCCCTCTGCCCACCCAGGGGCCTGAAGGCCTCATTGATCCCAGCCACCGGCTCCACCTCCACCATGCTGCGGTTTCCCCAGGATCCCGACCGCTCCTCCAGGCAAGGGCTAGGGGCCAGAAGAGCCACAGGGAATGGCAGCTTGGGGAGTGGGAGGCAATATGCAGGGCTACTCCAGGGAGCCCAGTGGGCTACTGCTAAGCACCAGCTTCTCAGGGTCCACACTACAGCCCCCTGCCCTTCCCCGAGCGGGAAGGGGTGTCCTGCTGCTCTGGTTTGCACCCACAGGTGAGAGCACAGGGCATAGCCTGGCTCTGGGCTAGGACTCGACCTCCCCTGGGGCTGTGCCGAGCCACTCGTCCCCACCCAGCTCCTGCTTTGCCACTCGTCCCGCACCCCGCGTCCCCCCGCTGCAGCCTCGGGGCTGTGCTCAGACCCCCTCGGCTCCCAGCCCCGTGCACGGGCCCACAGCGGGGCGGGTGCCAGCTTGTCTCTGTGCCCCCAGCGAACAGCGGGACCCCCAGCCCCACCCCGCTCCCTGCCAGCATGCGGGTCACCGAGCCCCCTCAGCCCTTCCTCCTTCCCAGGACCAGCACCGCAGCCCTGAGCAGGGCTTCCACCCTCATCTCAGCCCAGGAACGAGCCCGCACAACCCCCGC